CATTATTCTATATTTCTTAGTTGATAATACCAATTCATCTTGATTAGAATGTTTAGGACTTATTTGCTTTTGTGTGTGCTCGACACCAATTATAGATTCTGAACCGCCGTCCTCGAGAGATCGATCCGAGGTCGGGAGTCATCCCGTACTCGATAAAAATATAATTTGTTACAACACAAACCTTTAAACTCTTCTCCACTAATTTTTTAAACCAATACCATGGTCAAGCATAAAAAGGAACTTGAGCTTGGAGTTCAGTACCTTTCATCTGAAAAATAGGATAAAGTAATCGGGGAATTACTAAAATAGTTAAGGCTCTACTTAAAACATAACGCGGCGATTTTGGCTCATGGTCGGTTCAAAAGTGTGACGCCGGACACGACTAGACTGTTGTGGTCGCACCTGGGCCGGCTGGTGGCTTGCTGGCAGGCGCGTGCTGGGCTGGGCTGGCACGCTGGGATGATTGGTCCGCACTGCTAAAGGGAGATGGGTCGCGATCATTGGCCTGGAAGTGAGCTGGGCTGGAGAATCACACTGGCTGGAGATGGGCCAGAAGCTGGCTTCAGGTGGGAGGAGAGCGGGGCCAACACATGGGTTGTAGCAGCTGGAGACACGGCTCTCGCGCGGGCTGAATACGGGCCGACCACTGGGAGTGGATACTGGGTCGTGGAAGCGGATCGCGTGCTGGGCTTCCTCGCGCTGACTGCTCTCCTGGACTGCAGACGAAAGGCCAGCGATGCTTGGGCCACGCTGCTGGGTGCCACTTGATGGGCCTGACTGCAGCGCTGGGAACAGAGGTTGGGAAACAGCGACGCCCGACCGCACTCGACTCCTTAGCAACCGGTGTTCAAAAATCGACATTACTTATGAAAAAAACTATTTTTTTTCAAACGCTCGGGGATTTACAAAAATTGGGATATGGCTCAAAAAATGAAACGACAACTCAAGGCACAACTAACGTCGGATTTTCAAAATAACTAAATAAGTTGAGCCCCTGAATTCAAATGATGAACTCGGCATGGAAAAAGCTTGGATTTTAACTTTGGCTTGAAATATAAAATAAAGGCTCGACTTACGAAGAACAACGAATCACATAGCATGAATTATACTTAATTTTTCCGAACTTACGTCTTAGATTCGACTAACATGAAAATGTGAACTTATAATCGATTTTTTCTAAAAGCTTTGAATATTTACCGTTCGCCGGTCGAAGGAGAAGAATCAGGCAATAAGATGTTGATTTTTGGGTCGTCGAAACTTGTCTCGGTTGTGGGCTCGACACTCCATCACCTGGCACTCGCCTGCTCTCGGCTCTTCGGACAAAATCTCGGCGCTGGAAGGATGCTCGCTCTCGGATTATTGTAGACTTGCTTCAGCCATCGGACAAGGGTCTGCCCTCGCCATGAATGGCCTTCTCTCGACTCAGGTGGACGCGGGTCTACCTTGCTGAGGAGATATTGCCGGAAAATATAATACTTCTTGGTCGTCGGTTTGCCTGCTTGGTCGGGAGAGCCCAAGAAATCCCCCCGTTGCTCTTGCAAGTGGCGAGCGAGATAAGAGAAGATGGATGGACAAATGAAGTTTTGTGAGTCTCCTTTTTTCAAACTTTAATACCTTTCCACTTACCCAATTAAACTTGCATTAAACGTGCTAGATATTGTTGAATTAAAGAGTACATTATGCTGAAATCTTGGGTGGTATTAAGGGCTTGAAACGGCCAATATATGGTGAGGCAGAAGAGTGAAATTGGGGCGGATACGTGGGAGAGTTTGGTCTTAACCAAATCTCTCTCTTGCTAATAAGGTAAGTCACTGATCTTTCCCTTCTTTCCCTCCTTAATTAATATATTTTACTAACTAGGTTAAGTAGCCCTTAATTTAAAAGATAAGATAATAATAATAGTAATAATAATGAGGTTAATATTAGTGTTATCTTATGAGATCATTACTTATATAAATGATTAAATAAATAAATATGCTTATCGAGCTATGCTTTACAAAAACGGGGCGCTACACGATCAAAGAGCGGCACATGGCAAAATAGACAAGGACTAAAATACGTAATAAATAAATATACAAATATCAGGTTCTCCAAGCTGATCATCCAATATCGACCGAGTCCTCAAATGTCAAGATCCTCCACTTTCGAGCCGAGCAGAATTTAAAAGGATCGGCCGATCCGGATACATAAAGAAGTCATCTTCAGAGGACGTACATTACCTAAAAGACAGGCGTCTATCGAAGTCGTCAAGCGTTATCATTGGGCCCCACATGGCTACATTACATTAAATGTCATTATATTATTTTATTCTCTAGAAATTGTTGTCCACATGATGAGGCCTTAAAAAGGGAGGTCCTCAAATGTTGTAGAGGAGGCTTATTTTATCCAAAGGAGAGGAGATTTCTCCCAAGAAATAAAAGGAAAAAGAACTTCATCCATTATCATCTTCTCCATTTTTCATACAAAATTTGATTAATATTTTGATGTTGGTACGATTTTTGATATCAACAAGTATTATGAAATATTATACTTAAATATAACTGAATTTGCCATCACTGTAATCAAAATAATCAAGAACGAAATTCAAACTTAGATGGTTAGCTTCCAATCAACAAGAAAAAAAATTGATCATTACAAGGATTACATATGATAGTTATATCAAATTCGAGTTATTTTTCAAAGACTATGACGCAAAAGAAAGACATGAAAAAACTATATTATGACGACAATAATAATGATCATTATTTTAAGTATAACGAGAATATCATTAAATAACAAAATCAAATATGACATAGATTTCTTTAGCATTTAAAATTTCACAAAAAAAATACTAATTTTATTTTAAATTTTCAACCCAATAATTTTTTACTTAATTTTATTTTTCAAAGTGTTCGGTCAATAGTATTAAATATTATATTACATTAGTCAATACATTTATTATTTTTTATCATAGAATACACCATTTTTTTTGTTAAACTAATGGAAAGAAAATTATATTATACTATTAAATATAAATCTAATAATAAAAATATTTTAAAGTAAAAAAAAGGCAACAATATGATGTGCGCAATACGTGCATTTTCTTAGTATATATATATATGGATGGATTCGGACCTTCAAAATTGGGAGGTGAGACTCAATCCTAGCCATTGATTTATGTAGAATCAATGACTCATTAATCAATTAAAATTTACACTAACTATATAATAAAAAGTAATATAATTATGTTTAAATTAATTATATAATAAATAAACTTATTGACCGTTGTTGACCGTCTGTCGACCGGCCAGCCAAAATCGTCTGTCGACCGGCCAGCCAAAACCCCAGCGCCCAGGATCCCCACCACGTCGTCAAAGAATGGCAGCAGCATCAAGATCACCGTCGTAGTCGTCTGCCACACCAACCGAAAGAGATTGAATCGTAGAGACTGTATGAGCCTCGAGACGATGATGCTCACCTCGCCACTCATGAATTCGCTGTCAGTGAGGCGCGAGGCGAAGTGCCGCTCCACGAAGGCGAAGTCAGCTCGTAGAAGATTGTCGGGGGCGAGGTGAATAAGCCAAAAGGGGTGGTGGAAGTCGAACCCGATAAGAAGATTGTCGGGGGCGGCGTCGCCGATGGTAGTGAAACTGAAGCAGCCGCACATTATGTTGGAGACGATGGTGATAGTGACGCTTATCAAGGTTGCCTTTCTCATCGTTTGATGCTCTGCCGACGATGATTTCACGGTGTCCTACAAACAAACACAAATTTTCAATTTGGGGGAAATAAAGGAAGAAGCGAGCCCTAGAAATTATGGGCATATTTAGGCCTATTAAGTTCATTCATTATGCATATTTAGATAGTACATAATGCATATTTAGGTAGTACACAATGCATACTTAGTTGAAAACATAAAGATAGTAGAAGCAGTAAAGTTCCAGGATATTGCTTTTGATTGCATATTTTGACTGCATATTTAGTTTGTTGTGTCACTTTTGTCACGAATCAGGTTGATTAGCCTACGCCTCAAATTGTCTTCTTCTTTGAGCTCCGGTGACCTAGTATACGCCAGGAGGGGGTTCCGGGAAAAATCTCCGACGCTCAAGTCAGAACTTGCTCAAACAACTAAGTATATGAATGTATCAAGTAAAGGCGTAGAATGCAATATATGATGAAGAAGATCATGTCACCTTTATATAGGGTAGTTATCTTGGTGACCAAGAGACTCCTTGTTAGGGAAGAGACCCAACCAGATTCTATTTTCTAACTTACCACGTCTCTATTTAGGCAGGAGTTATTGAGCAAATGATTCTTTCCTTTTTTACTAGGATTTTTCCCCCTTTATTGTACATCCCCACGTCCTTAGATTGTAGCCTCAACCTCCTAACATGTCCGTTGTGACTTACCTGAGATCGAACCTGGCCTCATCTTGAGGTATACCCTGGCCTTAGATCGTACAACTTCAATACCTCGAGGTCGACTGTGTTGCCGAGCTCCTGGAGGTCAACACCCCCAGGTCGTCTCTTCTAGGTCAGCCAACACCTAAGGCTCAACTACGGGCGCATTGTCCTGGTAGCTTCTCTCTGAACATACTGGAGCTCTCCTAGACCGGCCTAGCCGAGCTACCTGCTCAAATCAGTCCGCCGAGCTATTCTGATTACATCATCATAATTCAACAAAATGCACATTTAATTCATACAAAGTGCATATTTAGATCATGAACAATGCATACATATTTGATATCTATTGCATGTTGACATTGTACATTTCGTTCATATAAAATTCATATTTAGTTCATACAAGATACATATTTAGGTCATATCAATATCATATTTTGAGTGTATATTTGCTCCATACACAATGCATATTTAGTTTACACATAATATATACGACGGTCAAAACGGGTTGTCAATGTTAGTGGTCAATACTAGAACCCAACGGTCAACACCAAAAGTCAACGGTTAACGCCTGTTGTTAACTGTCAAATGGTCACTTTAATTAAAAAAAAAAAAAAAGGATAAAATCTCAGCAACACATCTTGTTCATAATTAATAGCTAAAATTGGGCCTCACATTCCCATTTTAAGAAAAGACTCACGCGCACATCACAAAAAGCCCACATTTCCCCTACGCACAAAATAAACACATTTCTGTCACATAAAACTCTAAACAATTTCACTTGGAGATTGTTAATATACACGAGTACTATACCGATATATACACAAGTACTATATGTCTCAGGTGTTTGATCCCGCGACAATCGAACATGATTCGCTCTCGAAAGTTTACAAAATTCATAATGGAAATACAAAGGATCCACTTCCATTCCCGAGAGTCGATCATCATGATTCAGTTCAAATCAAATAACAGCCTTTCTTTGTCTAGCTTCGTCTCTGGTGAGGTCCATATAATTATCCAGACACTCCAGAGCACCTGGAGATATAAAATAACAGCGCAAAATGGCACATGTGATGACCGGATACACCTGCTAGAGCAACAGAGAACTATCACGCCAGGAAGGCAGGTTCTGCATAGCTACTTATTATGTCAACATATCTCATTGGATATATTCAGATATCTGCAAATGAGTGATGAATGTAACTGGATGACTAAATACATAAAGGGACTCGAAATTGTTAATTTCCAATAGCATAAAATGGAACTAACAATAAAGCTGGTATGTTTGGGATTATATCCCTTTTTAGAACCTTATATCCACATGTATAATTTCTCAACATTTACGGAGCGGATCACTAGAACAGAAACAAAACAATATCTGACATGAGCTGTGACTTCAATAGTAGGTGAGGTTCGAGGAATACCTTCCGACTCGGGAAGAAGAAGACAGATCATATGGCTACATCTTTGCAATTTGAATATTAAGCAAGTCCTTCGTGATTCATGGCTTATCAAAATTATCTTTTCTTTGATTTTGTAGTAGCCCATTTGAAGAAACCACAGTTCGCTTCAGGATTTGATGCAGGTCCCTAAGATTAATATTATATTTTTCCATCAGGTAAAGAAATAAAAGATGTCAAAGCAATTTCCAAATTGCACGACCATAGTTTCATCAATCCAAAACCTGGACACATTAAATAAAAAAAAAAAGAAAAAAAAAAAAACTTAAATCANAAAAAAAAAAAACAAAATAACAGAAAATGCAATGTATTCTCAAGACAACTAGCAGGCAGACTATTTAATTACCTGTCTTTTTACAGCATGCCACGAAACTAAATTAAGGTGCAGAATGCAATGCATTCTAACATCATTTCCTTACTAATCACTTTCATGAAAAAATAAATTAAGGAAAAAAAAAATCAGTAATAGGCACAGCAATAATGGGCACAAATACCTCCGCACGAGCACAGACATAAAATCGTCGACCCAAATTAGGTCCAGATTTCTTCACCACTCGAGAAACACAAGGTTCCTTGTGGCCCTTGCAAAGAGGTATGCTGGTTTCCATAAGTTGTTGAATCCGTTGCCACTCAACTAAGGCTGTGATATTCTTCTCTTTTTCTGGAAATTGTGACGTATTATTTCCTTGCATTAGTGTGCTTTGTCTTGACGGCCATTCCTTTGCAGCATCTTGTTCACCATCTTCAGTGACAGTGTCATTCATTTCACAGTAAGGAATTGAAATGTCTGATTGAGGAGGCTCCTTGTCAGAACAAGTACTATTATTTGTATCAACACTGGCTCCTGATTTCTGGAAAAACGATTTCAGTGAAAGCTGAGACCACTGACTTTGTCTTGCTTTTTTCTTACAAACTACAGATGACAAAGATCTAGTACGACCAACTTCGGAGCAATGTGACTCGGAAGATGATTCTTTAAGCGATCCTTCAGAAAATTCATCTGATGTATAAAATGCACCTTCATTAATCACATATGATGAAGGTCCACAATCATATTGGGGTCTTTTAATGGACTGACTGCACCTTTGAACAACACTATTGTCATCTGAAATAGAACTTGTTCCTCCAGATAAGCTATTCATTTCAGCGGGTTTCCTTCTTGTGAGCATAGACACTGAAAATTATGACACGATGAAAAATGACTAGCGTGTTGAAGAAACAATATCATTAGTTTAACATCCATGCACATCAATATAAATGGGTATTAAATGTACAAGGCACCAAAAGCCAAAAAAAAAAATATATATATATATCAAATACACCCCTCAGTCCTATCTTCTTAGATTATCTTGTAGATAAGTTTTATGTGCCATCTTGTAGACTCATGGCTATGATAAGAGGAAGGAAACAAATAGTTAAGGGTAATTTAACGTTCAACTGGAGATTGAATTCTAGCAAACATCCCACTCATGGTGGAGAGTGTTGGTCATGAAACTATTAAAATGGACACAAGCATTTAGCCACAAATAGAAATGTCGCGTAAAGATCAACTGTTGAACCTGTCCCAAATATAGAACAGGCCATGAAACACTACAACAAACAAAAAGGAAGGCATCATTGATGGGATTATTTAGTAGTAACTGTGATAGAGATGCAAGAATGGAAAGATATCAATCTTAGAATTGATGCTGATTTTTTGGGACATTAATCGGTGCTTAATCTTAAGGATTGTGAAAGATTTATTATTTACTTATACGATATAATTTTCTTACCCCTTATATTTCTTACTGCCATTTTATATTTAGCTATAGTTTAGTATATGAGATAGGGATATAGCCTGTTAATTGGAAAGTATGGAGAGATTTATTTTGTAGTAGCATTGGCTATTGGGCAAGTTATTCTTGCTGAGAAGTTTTGTACTTCTTGTTCATCTTCATTGATATTTCAGCAATAAATTACATATTTTGTTTTTCCTAATCCATTAGTCCTAAAAAGTGGTCGACATGCTGGCCTGATGACAAACATGGAATCCCGAGTTGCAGCCATGGAGAAGGGTCAGGAAATGCTCGAGCGCCGACTCACTAATGTTGAAAAGGCGATCACCAAACTGATGTAGTTAGTCATGCAAACAAGCACAACCTAGAAGCAAATGACACCTCCCAGGTCTATAATCTAACATTCTACAGCGTCAGTTCCTGTGATCACCATACAGCCATGTGGAAATTTGAGAGTAGCTGCAAATCAACTTTCTCTACTTCCCTTGTCCCAACAGTTCTAGTGCAATTGACCTTGCAGTATAAGGCGATCACCAATTCGTTTGGACTAGTGAAGATTTCCTTTATGAGTAGTACCCTTGGGTTAGGCTGAAAAATCCATTTTTTTGTTGGGTTGTACCCTTGGGTTTATTATACAATCAACGGCAGATACCTTCTCTTTTCCAATGGAGGAAGGGACGCAGATAATTCATGATTCCAGCCTGAGTTATGACACTTGTGGACCATTGCAATAATCAATTGTGTTCTTTGTTTACAACTTTTTTCTCTACAGCCTTGTGCAGTCTTAAATCCAAAGCTGTCTGTTTTCTGGCAGGCAGCAATGACAGAGATGCAAGAATGGAAGGACATTAATCGCAGTATACTTTATGCGGATTTTTGGGGACCTTATTGGTGCTGAATCTTATGGATATTTACTGATTTATTATTCCTTATATGGTATTATTTTCTTACACCTTAAATTTCTTATTACCATTTTATATTAGTATTGACTAGTAGGCAAGTTATTCTAGCTGGGCCAGTTGGATAAGTATTTTATAATAGGAATATAAACCTGCATTATAACATAATTCAACATTATAACATTATAACATTCACGAATTTGTAAATTGTAAATAATTTGTATACTGATTCAACATAACCAAATTATTTCTCTAATAATATGTACATTAATTCAACATAACCAAATTCTTTCTCTCTATGATAAGAGGTAAGGGTCATATGAAACACTACATTTAAAGTCCTTGCCCATTTGTCCTTTTCTTTTTTCGGTTTGATTAGATTACATTTTTAGTTATGGATTTTTATACTAAAAAAGCACATTGTTAAAATAATTAGAGTTTGAAAATCTTAGAATTCTTTATAAGGTTACACCATAATCACATTAGTATTCGAGTTCTACTTTTTAAGAATCCATATATACTTAAGTTTTTTATTACAAATATACTTTAAAAATTATACTACCTCCTATTTTTTTTAAATGTCATTTTGGCTTTATCAACAATTAACCAAATAAATGACGTTTTGGATCTTTTGTATGTATTTTTCCATTATTACCCTCATCTAGCTAATAAACACACTATGTCTTTTCATGTTCACTCTTCATCTTTTCTCAAACCATCCTTCTTTATCCTCATTAATGAGGGTGAGGGTTATTATTGGCAAAAGAAAGATTCTTAATTATTGTCCAACTTCTCAAAACGACATTTATTAAAAATAGGAGGGAGTATCAAACATGAGGGTTTTGGTTTTTTAGTCAGTTCAATTTTTCACAAAATCACTCCTCCTTTTATAATAGTATCTCTCCTTTTATAATAGGACCTCATTTTATAATAATATAGATAGATAGAGTAGATAGAGATAAAAGAGTAACAACAGAGTACGGGGAGCAGTTTTGCTATGGAGCCAATAGTTGGCTCCATAGCAAAACCGGTACAGGGAGATCATATATTTCAGTTCAACTTATGTTTCTGTCATGAGCTGTCATGAGTGGGAGAAGAAAATTCCAAAAAAAATGAACAAGAGCAGTAAAGTAGGTAATATGATCACTGTTCATGACTTTCAAATCTAAGCAGCAATTACAGGAAGTACCATTTATGTTTCTGAATCTAAGTAGCAATTACAGGAAGTACCATTTATGTCTCATTATGGAAAAGGATGAGATTTTCTGGTTCACCGATATTTAGCATATTAATATACTCAGTGAGGGGGAGAGAGAGAGAGAGAAGATAAACACAACTATTTCTACAGTCAATGAGATTAGGTCATCGACCAAAACATTAATGTATGTGACACATCAAAGGACTTACCTGATGGCTCAATAAATCAATATATACTATTCAAATACCATTTCAAACCCTGTCAATCCGAACCAAAGAATTCAAAGATACTTTGGAGAAATTACGAGAAATCCATACCTAGTGTCTGCTGACATCCATAGACCTGGGGACAATATCGAGTGGACATTGAAGGAGTGTTGTGCTGTTCAATTATGGGGATGTCCATCAAACTCATGTAGACAGGAACATGATCTGACCCCTCCAATTTGACACTTCTTGTGTTTATATCTTTATGTCTATGAATTGAAAAGTAAATAGCTGAAAATTTGATTAATAGCTGAATATAGAATGGTCAATACAAGCATGCATGCATGCTAAAAACAAATGACATTCCTTCACAACTCGGCAGCCTCATTCCTTACCTAGGTGTATTACCAGGTTTCCAACGTTTGAACTGCAGCAGTATATCGCATTCTTTGACATGGCAAGTCACAAAATTATGTCCCTGATTTTCTTCTTTATGCAAGCATGGCCCAGCACTCAAAATGTGGTCAATTCGGGTCCCAAAGTTGAACTCCTCTGCACCAGAATTTGTAGGCCAACACGTATACGCTTCTCTTCTATTACAAAATTGAAGGGCAAAATACAGGTTGGTAACACAGTGAAAAACTAAAAGTTACAGTTACCATACTAGATGCACCAGTGTAGTTGATAGTATACATGCAATTAGCTTTTTTGAAAGAATATACCCAGATACCTTTTTATATAGCATTAATATTCTGAAAATGAATACAGAAATTTTTCTTGAATTAATAAAAAAAATTCTTATTATTAATAAATCCATTTCCACTAAAGAAAGAAAGCAAGAAGCAATTAAGAGAAAAAAAAAAAGATATATCGAATTCCATTTATTTCAAAGTCACGCCATACTATTAGTAATAGTGAAGAAGATTCATATAGTAATAGTGGCAGAAATCAAGAAGCTTTAGAAACCTCTCAGGATGTTTTTCACGGAAAACATCAAAAAAGGAACCGCCACTTCTCACCAGCAAAGATCTAAACCAAGTCCTAAACCTGCAATGCCGAAACTCAGTTACATATGTTTCCAGTTGCATATCCGCTATATGACCTTGAATTTAAGAGGAGAATCAATCCTCATAAAAAAAAAAAAAAAAAAAAATGCAGCAACTCACTCATTCTTTTCAAAATCCGACCCAGCATCACAACGATCAATAGCAGAGGGAGCTATGTTCAGATCTCCAACAACAATTATCCTTCGTCCTTGACCTAGAAGAGACTCCCACCTTTTCTAAAGCAAAATTACTAACATTATTTGAGATGCATGATGCTCAGCCAAGATCAATAGTAATTATAACGACAACTCGGGTATGACAAAACAAACCATTCGGGCAACTAAAAAACAAAAATAGCCATGATCCTTTTGCAGTGTATAGTTAGAATACGGTTGACAATACACAAGCAAAATAGTAAATAGTGCTACAATACTTGTCTAGAATTCGATTCCTCAGTTTATAGTTTGTATATAACCACAAATAAATTGAACTTCTTACTTACATAACCTCACTGTTGGAACCAATTTTATTACCCCACGTTTCAAAGGGAACTAGCGAACAGCAAATGGAGAACATATAAAATTCCAGGACTGGCTAAACAGGGAAAATTCTTGAAATGTTTCAAAACTTCGGCTTATAACAGATTACCACATACAGCGGACTAAATTTATCGTTTACTAATTGTAAAACTAGCAAAGTGCATATATTATTTCATATAGGAAGCAGGGAACTAAATGAGCAATAGGCTCTCATATTCCGCAGAGCAAAAGGGATAATCAACTACCTGCAGTATGTGAAAAAAATTGCGCTTGAACTGGATTCTTTCGGTGTCGTCGATATCAGCTCTAGGCCCATACACATTGAAAAGAACTGCACAAACATTCATTCATGGTTTACCCGTTAAGATGATTTGTAAAATAATGCAAAACAATTTTATAAACTGTACACAAAACTATATTTATTTTATACTTATTTACTTTCTATGTAATGAATTTTTCAATATTATATAATAAAATTACTATCCTGTCATTGTTAACACAAGCTAGAGAAAAGAATAAATCACAATTACGATTGTGAAGCTTACTGTTTCTCATTTTCTTAGTTTCACACATTCAGAAAATTTAAATTTTGTAAATTTCAAAATATATTCACACTTCTTATTATACTTGTATATACACTATTTCCGACACTAAGTTTGAAAAGAGGAAAATTTTCAAAACAAAATTATAACAAGTAACAATGAAATAAACACACTAGACATCTAAAACATAACATTGATACTGTTAAATATTACGAGACTAAAATTATGGGAAGGAGTGTGTATAGGATTTACAGGTACTACAGCCTACAAACCATTAAATATTTTATAAACAAGTGACAAAAAGAATATCAAAGTTGTTCTAATAGTCCTAACTTTTATATCCAGGCCTTGATGAGATGGTACAGAAATCGACCCAACTCTTAACCAATAACTTTGAAATAAAGAGAATTTGATTCATAGATTATGTCATTGTATAGTCTAATCAACTTCAATCAGCAACTTCGTCTTTGATATATCAAATGTTGTTAAGGAATATTTCCTTTTTATCTTGCCAGTAATATTGTTTTCCTAAAAACTTATACCATATTTTCAGAGAAGTTAGCTCAATACTTATCATTATATATTATCACTACTGGACCAAGATACTAACAAAGAACATGATCATAAGCATAACAAGTGCAGTCCCATTGTGGTATTCAGATGGCATTATTGGGATGCTGGCTTTTTTATACCAGAATTTCCCGATGTTCCATACAGAAAACTCATGTTTCTAAAAATAACTGCTCGAAAGAGTAAGCCTTTCATTGGAAGCTTTGCCATGGAAGCACTAATTTATTGCTTCTCAAGCCACTCACCGAAATGTACATGGTCAGATATGATACACCGTCCTTCTCCATCAATTTTCTGAAGCTCATCAATTGAGAAATCTTCTAGACCTTCAATTATCAAAGGATTCTCACTTTTCCTAAGCCCTGTGGAAAGCTTGAGAACACCAGTGAAACCCTCCTCGGCAGAGATTGGTAGCGCTACTTCAACGCTTGAAAATGCAGACATGACACGGCAAAATGTTGCCACGCCTACAGAAGGAAAAGATAAAATGTAGTGAACTGTTAAAAGGCCAATTCATGATGTCAACTTGGTTTTAACAAATAAAACAAAGATGCAAATTGCAAATTCCATAATCATAAACACCCGCTTTGCTAATCAAGGTAGACCACATCTTATATTGGCAAGGAAATAAATTTGTAACCAAGCACTTGTATTCTCCATACATGGAGATTTGTTTTAGTAGTTTATATAGAATGATGAATAGGCTTCGCATTTATTAAACCAAAAACATCAAATGCAAGAACATGTAATCTAAATATTCTTGTTGCAACCAATACACACACCAATAGAGACCCATCATAATATGCCTTTATTTTAACAAATCTCACATGCAGGCTTCTATCTTGAGTGCATCTCCTGAAATGTGGAAATGAAACAAGATCAAGTCTGAGTAACATGATTCTGGTACCTTTCTGTGACGTGAAAACACTAGGATATAGATACCTTTTAACTTTGGAACTTCGATAAATGGCATTGGCCTATTTGTTGAAGATTTCATGGCGGCCCACATGGCAAATTTTGAATGGTCATCTTTCTATGAGTCTCTAATCTTCCATCTTAATCAATTCGAAAGTTCACGTAGAAGATATTTATACGGGAAGTAATATGTATGTGCATGTATGGATAAATAATTTATCTTAAGTAATCAACAGATCATACTAATTACCTATTCCCTAATGTCTTAATCAATGAGCAAGCAGCTCTGTTAAGAATTGTTTTCCAGAATTAATCACTCTTTCCAGAGATCAGTGAGAATATCCTCCAACTCCATTGTCATGCCCATTCACATAGTTATACTTTTATCATGTGATTAGCATTGTCAAGAATGAAATAGTCTTTATTGGAATGAGAAAGATTATTCTACCCCAAAATTATTCCACACCAAGGATTGGCAACAATTCCACACAGCAGAAGAAAAAAGGAAAAAAAAAAAATAGAAAATGAAAGCATCTAACATAAAATTGAAAGCTTTGCAATCATGATGAATGTAATCTTCACTTAACATATCATTCAGCATATACATAGTGAAGTGTCTAAAATTGAAGAGGAAAAGGTAAACTAGTCATTGACCCAACATTTTTGGGTGAAGAATGAAAATTTTCAAATACAAAGAGAAAATGAATAAAAGAGAAGCAATAGGTACCGGAATATCCTGTTCGGCCTTTATCGGTAGTGCGAGTGCAAGAGAAAAAGGACTCGTAGCCCTCCACTTGCACCAAGTCTGCTTTCATTTCTTGCCTCGACAGCTTCGTCTCCTGCGCATAAGAATTAATAAGAATAGTCGAATTGAATCGGAATTGTGCACGTATGCAGATACAATGAAGTTTTTAGATGCACGCGGGAAAAGGTATAAAGGAAAAACCTGAAAGCAGATTATGTCGGAGTCGAGAGAATCAAGCAATTTGCGGAGAGACCCAAACTGCGCGACTCGAGGCCTCAGCCCGTTTATGTTGTATGTGACTATCTTCATTGTCAAACTGCTGTTTTCGTTATAGTAGTTGGCTTTAGCTTCGAGTATTTTGCCTCTTCATTTAATTTCATCACTCAATACTGCCTACGCATTCATCGACTCACAGTTCCAAGCACGCACTCAAAGATAGGATATAGGGAGATCTTCCACTTCCTACCCAAATTTCACCACCAAGCACGCACTCAAAGATAGGATATAGGGAGATCTTCCACTTCCTACCCAAATTTCACCACCAAATCTTACACACACACACTGACACACAGACGATTTGGGATTTTTTATGATTTTGGGATTCTAAGGGGAATCTTGGAACTGCCTGTGTGTATTATTTGGGATTTATAAAACCATGTAGAATGATTGTCTTAATAAGCAATTGCTTAGAATATTTTAGTATTATTTTGATGGGACCCTGTGTCATTAAGCAATTCTATGATTTAAGCAATTCAATCCTATGGTGAATTGCTTATTAAGCAACTCATGCGGGTCCCATATATACTCCACAAATTAACTATCAACTTAACTACCTTATTTACTATTTATAATTAAAATATAAATTTTTTTTAAAGCAACTTGTAATATTCAATTAAAATTTTTATAATGCAAAAAAAAAAAACGTAAATATTGATAAAATAATTAATTTAAAATTTCAAATATCACAATTTTATTTTATAAATAATAAATAAAGAAGTACATGAAAATTTAATCACTTTAATTAGAAAATTTAAACTACGACAAAGAAATTAAAATTACATTAACATTCAATCTTCATTATCCTCGTCTCTGAAATTGTTCCAAATATGTTCCACTAAATCCGCTTGAAGTTGGTGATGAGTTTCTCGGTTCCGAACTTGGAATCTCCTTTGCATATATCGTTGAAAACTACGATGAGGAGCGTAATTGATTTCAGGTTGTGGGATCTCATCCGGAGATGTTTCATAATCATAATTAACATACGTGTGTCGTTCATCTTCAACAATCATATTATGCATGATTACACATGCTCGCATGATACTCTTGATTATATCCATATGCCATTGACGCACCGGACCACGTACTATGGCAAACCGAGATTGAAGTACCCCGAAAGCGCGTTCCACATCCTTCCTCGCCTCCTCTTGACGCTTGGCAAAAAACTTTCTCTTGTTAGATTGTGGCATTGGGATGGTCTTCACGATTGTAGTCCAACTCGGATAAATACCATCTGCTAGATAATACCCTTTGTCATATTGTGTTCCATTTACATTAAAGTGTACTTCGGGAGCAGTCCCTTGCAATTCAGCGTTGAACAAATCCGATTGATTCAAGACGTTAATGTCATTGTTTGAACCTGCCATCCCGAAGAATGCATGCCAAATCCACAAGTCTTGTGATGCGACTGCTTCGAGTATAATTGTGGGTTTACTATGATCACCACGTTTGTATTGTCCCTGCCATGCTACAGGACAATTTTTCCATTCCCAATGCATACAATCTAAGGACCCCAACATACCTGGAAAGCCGCGTGCCGCTCCCATTTGTAGTAGACGTTGAATGTCGACGTTGTCAGGCCTCCGCATGTATTGTTCCCCGAATATCTCGCATATGCCATTCACAAATCGCTTTAGATACTCGATTGCGGTGGATGCACCAATGCGTACATATTCATCCACATAGTCAGCGGATGATCCATATGCCAACATACGGATACATGCTGTGCATTTTTGAAGCGGTGACAAGCCCAATCTACCGGTTGCATCTCTTTTCATTTGAAAATGGTCATCATGGTTGCAAAGAGCTTCAACTATCCGGAGGAATAAAGGCCTCCGCATTCGAAATCTTCTACGAAATTGATCGTCAGTGTAAACTGGATTTGTTGAGAAGTAGTCATTGAACAACTGGCTGTGGCCTTCTTCACGATTGCGATCTATGTAGATTCTCGTATGCCTTTGATGTTGACGGTTACTTTCCCACATTGGATAATTGAAAATCAAATCTAGCATAACGTCGGTTGTGCTAATGCGAAGATCATCATCACTAGTGTGAACATCATCATCGCTACTATAATTAAAAGGATCCATTTCACTAGAGATAGTTTAGGAGGAAGAATATAGTTAGATGGGGAAATACAATTGTGAGGAAGAATACAATTGTGATCTTTGCCATAAGGATGACTCTATATATAAGGTAGACCATAACGGCTAGTTTCATAATGGCTAGTTTTTAATGGCTAGTTTCATAACGGCTAGTTTCATACCGGCTAGTTTTTAACGGCTAGTTTCATAACGGCTAGTTTCATAAGGGCTAAATTTTAAGCAATCAGTTAAGCAACCCCATTGTAGATGGTCTTATTTACTATTTATAACGGCTAGTTTTAACGGTTAGTTTCATAACGGCTAGTTTTTAACGGCTAGTTTCATAACGGCTAGTTTTTTTTTTCACGTGTGTTCCTTTGACAATGGTAGTTTTCTAATTTTTTAATTGAAGATATAATTGAATAACATAAACTTAACATAACTTGTTACAATAATAATTCAAATTGAATAACATAAATTGAACATAAGTTGTTACAATAATAATTAACACTACTTAGTTGAAGCCCAATTTTTTCATAATTTGGGTACAAATAAATTCATGTCTTCTACGTTGTTGTTCATCCATTCCCGATGTATCCTTATATAAAATTTCCATGTCATCCTTTTGTTGTTGTGCTCTTAATTTCTCCTGCTCAAGTGCTAGTTGTGCTTCGCGGTCTTTCTCACGTTGTATGAGTTTTTTCTTCTCAATTTCCATTTGTTCAAGCTTCGCTGTTGCGTGTATTTCGTTTGCTTTTGCTAACCGTTCAAGAAAATTCAATTTCATCTCTTTTTCTTCTTCTAGGCATTTTGATGATGTCCCCCGAAATTTAGATTTCGCTTTTTTTTTTTGCAGCTTCTCGGCCCATTGGACGATTCGCACTACCTGATCCCACATTATTGTCACTAGTTGGCTCACTTGTTGGCGTTGCTGGATTAGAGGATGATGAATATGCCCCTGTGGCAGAAGTCTTTGTCCTCTTTGTTCCAGATTCGTCTTGTTCAGCATTCCATCTCGGATGATCCTTCAACATTTCCCAATAAGCCTGCATTTTGAATTTCCTCTTTGTACTTTGTTCATACAACTGGTATGCCATTTCCAAGACATCGGTCTCTGTCATGCCACTTCTCTTGCATCTTTCTGCTTCACTGTGGCATCCTGCAAATGTCGTTGCCTCTTTATTAATCTTTTGCCATTCATGTTGTAATTGACTCGCATTCTTTGAACTCGTTCCAGGTCCACGATACTTGTTAAAATTTTCCATGACCCTATGCCAAAACTTATCTCCCTTTTGAGCCGCTCCTATCTGTGAATCTTCCGAAATATCCATCCGCGACATAATGAGTTGTTTGCAATCTGCCACACTGAATGATCCTCTTTCTGTTTTCATCTTTGAACTTCCTTCGATTATTTCATCTTCCTCTTGAAGATCAATATTTTCCAAACCGATTTGGGTGGATAATTGTGGGAACTGAGAGTCTCTTCTCGAAGAAGAAGAATTTTCATTTTGGCTTAAAAAGATGGAACATTCTGAGTAGGAAGTTGTGGATAATTTTGAAACGGGATAGGCGGGATATTTTGAGTCGGGAAAGGCAAATTATTTGGAGTCGGGAAAGGCATATTGTTCTGGTTTGGAGCTTGATTTTGCAACATTTGAAAATATTGCATCTATTCTTTTGGATCCATTGAGACTGAATTTTTTTATAAGAATTGAGATAAAGAAAATTTGAACTTGATAATTTGAAATTTTTGTACCAAATGATTCATCAACCCACATATTTATACCCACACACTTTTATTACCGTTTTTTTTTTAACGTTGCATTTGCAACGGTACTGCATCAGACATAAGGCTCTT